ATGTATGGACTGTGATAAGAATTGTACGAGCCCCCAATAAAATAATTTCAAAAGAAAACAAAAAAGACAGGGAATTGGCATTTCCAATGACTTCAAATCAATGCTAATTACATTTATCACCAAATTTTACATACATTTGTTATCTGGTTGAGTGTGTGAGTTGATTGACTTTGGAGAGTCTTGTGTAGGGAAGAATGACTACATCTTTGGGGCTGTTGTGTGTGTGTGTGTGTGTGTGTGTGTGTGTCCTTTACTTCTTTTCGTACTAGCACCTGTTTCTATTCTTGCATGCCATCGAGGCAAACCGTCTCATAGTGACCCTTCTCCAGGCCCTGCAACATTGACTAAAATTTTAAAAATTCGGTTCTATCTTGCTTTCACTTTGTTGATCATGGCTGAACTGGGATGAACCTGTGTTTTATTCTCTGATCTCAAATTTGTATTCTTCAAACTGTCTTTTTGTGTTTATTTGGATTTTGTTCATCCTAAGGTCTTATAATTGTTTTTAAAGTAGCAATATTAAACTATTTCTGCATTCATTAATAGCTAAACCTAAAATGACAATGATGTTCAATTTTAATCGCTGTCTCAAAATATTTTAATATGAAATTAAAAATGTTTATGTATTTGTTCTATTTTTTTAATGTGCTAGAATTTACTGTAGCACTGAGCTGCATAAACTTTAAGAAGTTTATGATTAAAAAGGAAAAAAGCTCTCCTAACATAATATATAAATATTCCACTGAAAACTTGATTTTCAGTAGGAAATGCTCCACTTCATAGTACAGAAAAGACACAGAAAACAAACTTGATTTTGATATAGGGCAACATTTCACTACTATACTAACATATAAAACTGATAACAATTTATTCATGAAATAGTGGAAATACCAAGTGTGCTATCATACCTCATACATCAGCACATAAAGACAAAATGCAACATAGTATTGCTCATGTGTGTGAATAATGAAGCCTGGTAATGTAGTGGTTACGTGTTGGTGCTAATCATAAGGTCAGCAGTTTGAAACCACCAGCTGCACCATGGGGCAAAGACAGGGCTTTCTACTCCAGTAAAGAGTTACAGTCTTCAAAACCACAGGGACAGTATGAGTTGGTATTGACTTGTTGGCCGTGAATAAGTGGCCATGAATCCTTGGACTCCCTTTTGGCCTCATACTAATGGTCTCCTTCATCAGGATGATATATCTGTCTCTGTCCCACTTAAGACTTAATAAACGTTCTCCTCCAACTATATTTGAGATTGGGATCTCTCTTGTACCTAAAACAAAGCACGACAGATTCTAGCCCAAGTGAAAAACAGACAGCAGTGCCTACTCAAAGCTGGTGGCCAATCATACTTCTTAGAGCGTTAGTGGATAGGCAATGTGTATGCTGCCTTTGTTTCCATAGGTCATGAGTGAATTTTCTTGGACCAGTTACAAGGCCTGTTGAAAAGAGTATTTCCTGAATAACTTTCCTTTGTTACACTTTCATTATTGGTCCTTTTCAGATTTTCTATCATTTCTCAAATGCTTTTAAAATGTAATATGGCTGAAGGAATTAAAAGTTAATAACAAAGATCTAGATACACTGCTCCTAATATTCCATCAAGAAGCCCAGGTAGCACAGCGGAGTAAACATTGGTCTCTTAGTCACAGGTCTGTGGTTCAAACTCACCAGCTGAGGGTGACGTGAAGCTGGCTGCTGCCATAAAGATTTACAGTCTTGGAAACTTCCAGGAACAGTTCTACTCTGTCCTGTAGACCAAAACTCAAGTCAATGCCAACTCATATTGACCGACTCTTAAAAACAAGACAGGGTAGAACTGTCCCTGTGAGTTTACAAGACCGTAATTGTTTCCAAGAGTAGAAAGCCCTTTCTCCCCAAAAAGCAGCTAATGGTATCGAACTGCTGACCTTTTGGATAGCAGCCAAACATTTAACCACTACACTGCTAGAGCTCCTTCCTGTTCTGCAGCGTTGCTATGAATCAGAACTGATTTGATGATGGCAGTGAGTTTGTATTTTTATTATATTTTATTTTAATATACTATCATTCTCACTGAGAACATTCCCTTAACATTAAATTTTTTATTCACTATGTTTCCAAATATATTATTAAGAGTTCTTAATTTTAGCTTAGTTTCCACCCACATACCAAAAACACCACTCATGGTTAATTGTTCACTTTGCAATCATTAAATTTTTCAATCAATCTCTTTCCAAATATATCATTAAGAGTTCTTAATTTTAGCTTTGTTTCCACCTACATACAAAAACATCACTCACAGTTAATTTTTCACTCTGCAATCTTCCTGTTACTTTCTTTTTTTAAAAAAAAGTTTTATTAGGGCCTCGTACGACTCTTATCACAATCCATACATACATCAATTGTGTAAAGCACATTTGTACATTCATTGCCCTC